ATTTAGTTAGGAATCAACTATAGCACAGTCACCACCTACACTGGTAAAGGCATTTCCTAATTTGACATCAAAAAAGGTCTTCATTAGGAAACAGCTGGAAATGGCCAACCAGAAGTGCACCTAGGAGCAAAATGGGAATCCTATAATAGATGTGTACTGAGTATGCATTAGGCAAACAAACTCTGTTGTGTGTAGTGAAGATTTGATAATTAGATTTTAATTTCAAAGCAGTTGGGCTCAGTAATTCATAACATCTGTCATTTTTTTCATTTGATGAAGACCTACAGATGTCAATGATGTACAGCTTATATACATTAGTTTAATTAATAATTAATTAACTGAAAAAGTGTTTAATGCCTTTTTTAACAGTACTGAGTGCATTTTTCAGTGCCTACAGAACACTCTTGTCTGGTTTATCTTAGATTGACCACATGCTTTGTAATAAATCCAAAAGGACACACCAGAAAGCACAAACTGTTAATATTTGTTGTTTATCCTTCATTGTCAAATGTTCAAGAATGGCAACATTTGTTCTATCATTCATGTTGTTGATTAAAGCTAATATAGAAATAGCCCAGTAATTAATTACAAATTCTAGCAAAGCAATCAATGTGTTTCTGCATGATTACAATACTATGCATGTTGGCTGTTGTTCAAATTTAGACCAGACATGCACCATAAAAACCATTAACAAACTTAGGACATACATCTACAGAAACACTTAAAGGAATCATAGTGTTCATGTGTTTCCTTTAATGACAGCAGTCAACATAACAACTGAACAATTATTTGAACTGTACATTGAACTAAACATAGGAACATTTCTTTTTATGACAATTATCCACAAAGTGTGCAGCTTTTGTCACTGCAGTGTATCTTTCTGGGCCTCTGGAAGAACATTTCCAGAGCCTCTTGATAAGGGAAGTCAGAAACTTCTGGCCGATTTATCAAGATCCGCATGCAGGTTCCAAGATCCTTGCAGCCAAATAAGGATGTTTGTCTTGACCTGCAAATACATTAACTGTTAGGCTTTAAAAGTGATAGCTGATAGCTTAAATCAGCAAATCACAGCAAATATTTATTTATTTTTTTTTTTACTTGTCTGCATTGGTCTTCATAGCTTAGCGCCACTAAAGGGTGTAAGCTTCTTGTGAAGATTGATGCACTGTTAATCTTGCAGTCAAGTATTTTATACCCATAATGCGTGGTTGTGACCGTCACCCACCCTCCCTGGAGACTAGCCTAACAGCCTTTATTAGAAAAACCTCCTAATATGAGTCAGAGAGGGCCGTGATACACCAAAGTGTGTCAGGGGGAAAGTAAGGAAACAAGCAAGGGGGACGGGGCAGGTGCTTAAGTCCTGAGTTATATAGTGATAGTGCATGCGGAGAAGAAGGAGGAAAAACAAACAAATAAACAAACAAACGAAAAAAAAAAACGGGAGAAACAGGCAGTGTAGCTGATGTATTGTGGCCTTGAGGTGGTTGTGCTCCATGCAGATTATCGAAAATAAACATATACATGTCTACTATACTGTACTGAAAAACAAAAACAAAAGAGAAGTCTATACTGAACACCAAAAATGTGAGAGTCTTGGTGGAGGGGGAAAGCCCAATTGCAGAGAAGAGTTGCCAGCGCGGTGTGGTAGGTTTGAGAAGCAAGTGGGCCCCTTTGGAGTGATCCCATCGGTTCTTTGCGATGCGTCACGGAGCTGAAGTATCGAACATGCATGTGTGTATTTGAACCCTCCCAATGTGTTTATGAAAACCATCACCAGGGTCCAGGGCCAGCCCTGCGGGGGAAGGGGGGCGGTATGGCACCCCAAGACCGCAGGAGCGCCCAGACCCCAAGACCAGGGAGCCGCAGAGGCTGCAGGACACCACGCAGGCCCAAGGACCCAGGGCGGNGTGAATGTGAGTGCCCATAAGTGTGATGTGGTGCATTAAAATTGAGGGACATAGGAGACAGGTGGGGGCAAGGCTGATGGCTACAGCACACTGCTGTCCTGCAGCCCGTGCAGCCATAAGGCACCTGGAACCTGTTCCCATCTGTCCCCCAAGATGTAGGTGTATGTGGTGCTTTAAAATTGGAGAACAGATAAGGATGGGCCGGGGGGCAGCATGGAGGGCTACCGGACACCACTGTCCCATAGCCTGCCCCATTATGAAGCCCCCCAATCCATCCGTGGTCTGCACCTCGAAGAGTGAGTGTATGTGGTGCATTAAAACTGTGCAATGTGTGGTGAGTGAACTAAATGTGGTTTAGGAGGCCAGGCCAGTGTAGGCCCGGCCCGAGGGCTGGAGGGATGGATGGGAGGGGCTAGGAGGTGGCGCCAACCAGACCCCGGCGCCGCGAGGCCCCCAGCGCCCATGGACAGCGGGCCAGGCGGGCACAATAAGCACACTGACTGCAAAATAAACATGAAGATAAAACATAGCAGCTGAGCTGAGTTATTTAAGTTACCTGTTCTTCAATTGCCATGACATGTCATGGCATCCCCCTTTTGGAAGAGCTTAGAGAGGTGTGCCAGTTGAGGGAGCACATCAGCTTGCAGGTGAAGGGTGGCAATGAGGCGATAGGTGGCAAGTAATTAATAAAGTCCCTTAGCAGTAGGACATTTGCGGGTCTCTACTTCCTCTATCAAGGCACCCAGTACAGCAGTTATGTTCCTTAGGAGGCTTTTTAAAGCTTCATGTTGGGAGAGCCATCATGTGTCCTTTACTTGCTAGTCAATGAATGAAAAAACAGCTGGTTTCAAAAAATGAATAGAAATGCAAGTCAAGTATTGACCTATGTCAGTTTATTTTAGGCATAACTTATTTACCTTCACTTTCAGCTCACACACACCGAGAACCTCTGCAGCAACTTTCAGAGAAGCAGAGCGGTTTGCACTGTTTCTGAAGTACAGGTGCAGCTGTTCCAAGTGGTCTCTGGATCTAGCCATGTAAGGCACCTCTTCAGATGCATCCTTACAGGCTAGAGCTAGCCTATGTGCAGCACAGTTGACACTTAAAAGCCATGGCCATTCTTCTGATTGATAGCTGTTTTGCAACTCCTTTTTGTCCTCCTATTGAATACAATTGTTTATTGATTTAACAAGAAACAAAATATTCATAACAGTTTAATTATCTACAAAAAAGGTATGACACCTGTCATTACAGCAGCACCTGTCAGTCAGGCAAATTAGATCCATGAATTGGCAGCAGACCTTCCCCTCGTTGTCCAAGTTTCTAATAATGTCCATATGATACATTTTATACATTTCAATTATCTGTATATTTACATTTTATTTACATTTATTGGCTATCCATCCGATGCCCCTGTAATATAATAGTAGGGGAAACACTGATATTGTAGGCTACTGAGAAAAATAACCAAAGAAACAACATGTATTAGATGAGCTCCACATGGTTATCTGAAAATACACTATTCCATCAGTTTAGATGTAAAAAAAAAAGTCTGTTGTATCATTTTACACTAAACAGTAACAGAAAAGTAACTATTACTCACTTCTGTGGATTTGTGTGGGTGAATATGAAATGATGCAGCACTCAGTATTGTTACCTTTTATGAAAGAGAAAGAAAGAATCATTCCAACAGATGTCTGTTAACTGTCATCAACACTGAAATGAACAGGACTTGCATGCAAAAGAAAATAGCCTACAAACACTGACCTTATCCAAAGAACATTAATATTAACACACACAGTCACTAAAGGTTTAACTGTAACGTTACTCTGATAGCTGGGAGAATACTACACATCAATCAGTAACAGTTTTGTGTAGCGTGACGTTAACTAAGTTCGTCTACTACTTTAGAGCTATTAGCACATCAAGACGCCTAACGTGTTTACCACCACATTATTGCAGTTATGCTAACCACACACCACACACTTTAACACTAACTTACACACGGTAACGTTAACTTCACCTAATGCTACAATAATGTTACAAGGTTAAAGTTACTCTTCTTATATGTAGTATTTGCCAAATGTAGACATGTATGCAATTAGCTGACGTTACTAAGATTACTTACCTCTAAGGTTTACCTCGAATTGTGGAAGCTGACTTTGTTAGCGACAACTGAGCACGGCAAGCTGGGTGCAGCGTTCAGTCAGGTTGCCGGGGTAGGTGGCCGTGTGTAGTGTTCTCTGGCTCCCCCTTCCTCCTCCACAGCTCCGCTCTCTTTTTCAAAAATGTGCATGTCTGGTATCCAAGGTAGCAATGGCCAAATTGCTGAACTCGAGGCTTCAGAACGGCAGTCCACAAACCAATGGCTACTTCCATTATTTTTACAGCCTATGTGGCCAATGTGAAAAAGCTAAAATGCAATTAACCCTACCTAGACCCGCTACATATGTAGATAAAAATGTCTCATTCTAAGGTAACAAATACACAACAGTTCTTATTTTCAGGTGATTAGAAACTAAAGAAAACATAGTTATCATATTATATTTGATATCTGCCAATATATCCCCCCAAATCTTACACACTGAACCTTTAACCTTCCCAAAGCTACTGAGCTTTACAAGCAGAAGTGAAACACTTTTAAACATCAGTCAGAAAAGCAGATCCGGTTGTTCCAAAAAATTTACCAAGAATTCTCAGTGCTGCATGATATCGGCTAGCATGGAACATGGTGCGTGCTAAAGAGAAAAAGGTTAAAGGCTAAAAAAAAAGGTCCTCAGTAATGCTGTCCTTTCTCCACGACTCATGACTTTTATGAAAGGTTTTAGACTTGGCATTAGTTCATTGTGCAGTACTCCTGCACACATTGGATTTATATTCAAGACACAACAAGTTCAAGGGTGGTCCAATGATTGTATTTTGTGGTTGAGGATTGTGCAATATGTTGCTGTGTTTTGGAAAGACTCAACTTGGCTCTATGGGGGGAGTTACAGATTTTGCCTGACCTGGTATAAATAGCACTCCCCTTTGGCAACAAACTCAAACTCTTCAGGATGCATTTTTAAAGTAGAGATCTGCTGCATTTCTTGGCGCGAGCAGACAGGCAGCTGAAGTGCTAAAAGTGAGTACAGCTTAGCAGACAACACTGCTTTAAAATCTGACTCCACAATCAACAGGTGAAAAGGCCACAGAATCCAGAGTCCATACTACCTACATACAAGGTAAGAAGATTACCAAGCTGTCATTGCATCAAACTGTAATATGGTGTTAAATGCTGTGTGCCTGTCTGAATGTGATGTGGCGCTTTAGAGTGGTTTGGCTATTTTGTTTTATTTCTGAGGTATTCAGAATAAAAAACACAATAGAGAGATGATTACATATGATCCAGAAAAGCCAGTGTGAGAGTTAGATCTCTGAGTCTGAAAGCTTGATAGACATCAAATGTTGTGTTTTCTGAGACAGATTTGACAGATACACTGTGACGATAATTTAATTTTATCCTCTCTTAACAATTAGAGCTAGACACTAGACTGGCAGCACATTGCTTGATTATAACGCATTGCTCTGCAGCAAAAGTTGAACCTGGATAAACTTTGTGCCAAACAACCATGCATTATTTTTCCCTCTGTGTAACACAGGGGCCTCATTGGAATTAATGTGTGTTTTTCCATGTAGCTCTGATGTAGGTTTAACAGCCTTGTAGAATGGAATTATGCTTACGTGAGGATACACATGAATATACCTGCACAGTATAGGGTATAAAATGAAACCTGAATGACATACATATTTAACATAAAGTTATGTAATTATTGTTCAGTGTTTTGGGTTTTCAGCTACTTTCTCCACCCAGGAAATCAGCCACTAACTTCTGTCTTATTTTTCTCTGGTGGAGACATGGGGAAGGGCTTCTTCATCAGCAAAGCTGTAGCTTTAACCTGTTTGGTTGCAGCCATCGCTGCTGTGACCACCACCACAGCCTTGTCTGTGGTTTACGCTCAGGAGGAGGCAGAGAATGAAGTGCCCACCCCACCATCCAACCCAAAGGAGCCCTGGCAGCAGTACAGACTTCCAGATTCCCTGTCTCCTGTCTCCTACAATATCATCCTGTGGCCCCGGCTGGAGCCCAACGCAGACGGCCTGTACATCTTCACTGGAAACTCCACAGTGATCTTCAGATGTGTGAAGGAGACTGATCTCATCCTCATCCACTCCAACAAGCTGAACCTCACCAGCTTCGGGGGATACTTGGCCCAGCTGAGGGGCCTAGATGGAGCCACTGCGCCCAGCCTGAAAAGCACCTGGCTGGAGATTCCTACCCAGTACCTGGTGATCCAACTCAACAGCCCACTGCAGGCCGGCAGCACGTACGAGCTTTTCACTGAGTTTGTTGGAGAGCTGGCTGACCAACTGGGAGGATTTTACAGGAGTGAATACATGGAAGATGGGGTGAAAAAGTATGATGGTCTTTTTTTTAAATTAAATTTATTTTAAATATTTAGTTTTAAGAATTCTGCCATTGTGAAAGTTTTTATACAATGTGTAAATATTAATATGGAGGAATGCAGGATTTTAACAACTTAACAGGCAGGGATTTAAACCAGACCCTCACTTAAAGGGATAGTTATTATTATATATTATATTATTATAGTTATTTTTTGAGGAGGGGTTTTGTCCCTGGTCAGTGTATTAAACACAGTAAATGTGTAAACAGTAAATGTATTCTTAATATTCCTGAGGGAGATGTGAAAAAGAAAAGTTATGGTAAAGTGGGTACACCACAAAACTGACAACCACCATATTACATAATAACTCAGAAGAGATTTAACAGGGGTTATATTACTGTGTGAGAGTATATAAGGATCGAGGGTTCCTTTAACTTTTGATGTGGGTGTTAATTATGAGTATCTGCTATTGTCAGAGTTGTGGCCACGACTCAAATGCAGGCAACGCAAGCCAGGAAAGCCTTCCCCTGCTTCGATGAGCCCGCTATGAAAGCTGTCTTTCACATGACTCTCATTCACCCCCATGACACTGTGGCTCTGTCCAATGGCATGAACTACGGCAAGTTTCAGTGTGTGTCAGTGCCCAGTGCAGCATTTTACATGTGAACTGTCTATGTGCAACATTTCTCAGTGACCTAAAAGTTAAAGTGCAACATACCTGTCCTCAACTACATTTTTGTATGTCCAGATTTAATTTACAACAACAGCAAACATAACATATTCTGCTTCAGGTACATTATTTGTCCTCATTTTTTCATTTGTAATTAATCTGTTGCTGTCTCTTTCCCCACACAGAGCCTGTTAACGCTCCTGTGGACGGACACATTCAGACAAGCTTTGAACCCACCCCGATTATGTCAACCTACTTGCTGGCTTTTGTTGTGTCCGATTTTGCATTCAATACATCGACTCCTGATGCAGAAGTTTTGGTAATTATTTATAACATCTTACAGTCGAAACCCTGCAGATGGATATGGGTACACAACATCTACAATATTCACATTCATAGGTCTATAATAAACATGTGCCCAACTTATCTGATCTGTACGTTGATGCCCAGTTTGAGAGGGAACATAAGGAGAATTGCTGCATTAATTTCAGGAAGTAATGCATGAAAGTTAAAATTAGGAATTTTCCTGGCATTCAAGCTGTTGGTGGAATAGGTCCACTGTGAACTTGGATCCTTGATACCATGGATTAGTCCACTAAACACTAGTTATGACTGGTTCATACAGTGGTTTAATTTTAACTGTGTATTTCAGTCACAACTTGTTATTAGCCATTATAAAAGCGGTTTTATTAACAATTGCCGCTATTACCACCATCTTCCACTGCCACAACCGTGACTACCAATTTAAACACAAGATGTGGGCTTGTCTTGTCATCTGCCTTCCTGGTGGTCACAGTGTTTCTGTGCTGCCCTCTGCTGGAGTTAAAGCTCAGTTCAGGTCTCTGACTTACCTTTTTATTCTGTCGAGTTAATAAGGAATTACTTGTGTTTAGATCAGGATCTGGGCTCGCAGGAAGGCTATAGAGGAGGGCCAGGGAAACTATGCCCTAGAGAAGACTGGGCCCATACTGGCATTCTTTCAGAAGTACTACAACTCTTCTTACCCTCTGAGCAAGTCAGGTAGGAACCACACACACACACACACACACACACCAACTCAAGGACAGTTACAGTTAGATATATTAATAATACCAACGCTATCAGCCAGCTTCATCTTTAACTTTGTTTGTTGAGCATCTCTTTTGTGGCAAATGAAATACACTCAAAATACGAGTATAGGGAGCTGGAGAGAGAGTCTGTAACCCTAACTACAAAAGCTTAAAAACAGAATAGTAATGCTCCTAAGCACTTACCAATATTACATTATATTTAGATTGGGTGTCTACAGAAACTGCGTTTTTACATTAAATACTGTAACTGTTTATAGACCAGATCGCACTTCCTGACTTCAGTGCTGGAGCCATGGAGAACTGGGGCCTGATCACCTACAGAGAAACTACCCTCCTATATAATCAAGGCGTGTCATCCATTACAGACAAGGGGTTTGTGGCAAAAACCATCTCGCATGAGCTCGCTCATATGGTATGAGGACATTCAGTGGTGTACTGCCAGTCATATCTTTGATACTAACTGTGTCTAGCTTTGAAATGGGTTTTAAAAACCTGGCATTAAAATGAAGCTCTGTCCTCTCAGTGGTTTGGAAACTTGGTGACCACGAGGTGGTGGAATGACCTGTGGCTCAATGAGGGCTTTGCCACATACGTCTCTTATCTTGGAGCCAACTATGCTGAACCACTGTGGAATATGGTGAGTTGTGTTCTCTTCTGGAAACACATCCAGGTTGAGACCTGCTGGATATACTGAACATACTGAATGGATCTATTTTTAAATTGCCCCAGTGTAAGCCATATATTACTAAATTACTTTCACAGGTTGATCGGAAATTGTGTCCGCTCATGCCATAATGCAAAACATAACAAATATTTCTCCGTGTATTTTCCAGACAGATTTAATAGTTCTGAATGAGATCATTGGTGTGATGGGTGTGGATGCCTTGGCCTCCTCTCGCCCCCTCTCCTCCCAAGAGGAGGACATCCTAACACCAGACGACATCGGTGAACTGTTTGACTCCATCACATACAGCAAGGTGCGGTATAATTGAGGATAACACATCACAACTTTGGCACCCGAATGTATTGTTCTCTTCAGTCCCTTCTAGACAAGATGTTAACCTCCACTAAACAAAAAGAATGAATTAAAATGTTCACATTTCCCCGAGTGACCCTAATCAAGGACTCTTGACACTCTTTGGGAGCTACAGAATTAAAGTCCTAATGAATCACTGATCCTCATTAACAGAATGCTGTAATTCTGTCCCATCTTATATATCACCCACTGACACTGCTAATATCCTCATGTGTTTCATTACAGGGAGCTGCAGTCCTCAGGATGCTCTCAGAGTTTATCACTGAGACTGTCTTTTCCAAAGGACTTAGTGTGAGTACAACCGATTAAAATTGTGTTATAGTGTTGTATTTTGTTAATGTTCTCGAATCACAATTTTATAAACCACGACTGATTCTTTTGTTCACCACAAAAAGCACAACTCGAGCATAACCAGTGGGTCATTATCTGTCTGCAGACGTACTTAGAGGAGTTCAAGTACAAGAACGCAGTCTACACAGACCTCTGGAAGCACCTGCAAATGGTAAGATAGCATCATCATAATGACTACTTATGCTCCACAAAACAGCTACTTATCATGAAAGTGCTTTCAAAACCTATGTTTAATCAGGTACCTATACATTTATGTTAAAGGTCCAGTGTGTAGGATTTAAGGGGATATATTGGCAGCAGAGGAATATAATATAACAAGTATGTTTTCTTTAGTGAATATTCACCTGAAATTAAAAAGCGTTGTGTTTTCGTTACTCTAGAATGAGCCGACATAGGGAGCGGGTCCTCATCCACAGAGATGGCCATGTTGCACCACTATGTTTTTTGCAGTGGCTGAGAACGAACAAACCAAACACTGGCTCTAGACAGGACCATTTGCATTTTTGCATTGGCCACTGAGCGCACAGTCCCTCTGCGACAAGAGCGTCAGAATAAAACAGATTTTTTTTTTTAAACATTAACTGCTTTATTCAGTGCTTTTACCAGTTTAAATCAACTGGTCCATTTTTTTTGGAGAGGAGACCTCTTTGGATAGCTCCCGGTAAAAACCTCCTGAATAATGAACACTGAAGAAATTCTAAGTAGGAGAATTTTTAGCTGATTGCAATTTACAGTCATCACTAGATGCCGCTAAATCCCCTTAATCTAAGACAGTGTTTCTATAAAGCAATGGTAACAGATATTTTTGTCAACTTCAGGGTAGTCCAACAAGCTGTTAACACAAAACTGATGTATTATCATCTCACTGGCTAACATGTTCGCAAACAGCTGCCTTTTTAACTACCAAGCAGCAAACAAGCATTAATATTCATTTGGAGTCATGTTTTTGGGTACCAAAAATTTTTAAATCCAATATTCACTCTCCGATCAGCTTGATTTTGGTCTCCACCAACTCCTGAAGGAAATATCTTTAGCTCTTTAGCTGCTAAATTCTCCACTATGTTCACCATGCTAGTGGCTAACTTGTTTTCTCTGTTGTTTGGCAAATGGCAGGCAACATAAAAGTCTACAATGAGTTCATATTGTCAGTAACATGTAATTTACCCAATTTTAATATAAAATTTTGATCAGTGCAGCTGTAAAGTGTTTTTACATAACTTTTGAAAGAAAAAGTAAGCATGTGCCTCTTTGAATTTATTAGACACAGAACGCACATTTGCATAATTCAGTCTGCCTGGTGCTACAGCCTGTTCTGGTATGACTTATAGGAATACTTTGTTTCATTTCACAAGTCTCATTATTCCAGTTGTATGCTCAGTACTTCCCAAACAGGCGTTATGTTTTCCGGCGGGGAACTGAAATAAAAGTGAAACTTATGTATGCTCTCTTCAAAGCCAAACTCTGTTCACAAAAACAGTATTTTTTTTTCTCTAGTCTATATTGTAGTTTGATTGTGTTATTGTGTGAATTCAAACTAACCTTTTACAACACCCAAATCACACAATAACACAATCAAACCATCAGTATAGACTCTAGTAGACCAGCTGCTCCCATGTTCAGTGAAGAAAAAGGTCATGACACCTTGAAGAAATATTATTATATATAAAAATTAAAATAATTCCTCTGCAGGGAGCAGCAAAAAGTCATAATACTATATAGTAATATTTTAATGTTCTTTTTATCAGGCAGTGGATGAAGCAGGTATAGATCTGCCCCACTCTTTGGAGGATATCATGAACCGCTGGATACTACAGATGGGTTTCCCAGTGGTCACCATCGACACCCAGACCGGAAAAATTACCCAGCAACACTTCCTGTTGGACCCAGACTCTGAAGTGGACAGACCCTCACCATACAAGTAGGAAACATTCTTAGTGTTTTATGTGNTGAGAGGGAACATAAGGAGAATTGCTGCATTAATTTCAGGAAGTAATGCATGAAAGTTAAAATTAGGAATTTTCCTGGCATTCAAGCTGTTGGTGGAATAGGTCCACTGTGAACTTGGATCCTTGATACCATGGATTAGTCCACTAAACACTAGTTATGACTGGTTCATACAGTGGTTTAATTTTAACTGTGTATTTCAGTCACAACTTGTTATTAGCCATTATAAAAGCGGTTTTATTAACAATTGCCGCTATTACCACCATCTTCCACTGCCACAACCGTGACTACCAATTTAAACACAAGATGTGGGCTTGTCTTGTCATCTGCCTTCCTGGTGGTCACAGTGTTTCTGTGCTGCCCTCTGCTGGAGTTAAAGCTCAGTTCAGGTCTCTGACTTACCTTTTTATTCTGTCGAGTTAATAAGGAATTACTTGTGTTTAGATCAGGATCTGGGCTCGCAGGAAGGCTATAGAGGAGGGCCAGGGAAACTATGCCCTAGAGAAGACTGGGCCCATACTGGCATTCTTTCAGAAGTACTACAACTCTTCTTACCCTCTGAGCAAGTCAGGTAGGAACCACACACACACACACACACACACACCAACTCAAGGACAGTTACAGTTAGATATATTAATAATACCAACGCTATCAGCCAGCTTCATCTTTAACTTTGTTTGTTGAGCATCTCTTTTGTGGCAAATGAAATACACTCAAAATACGAGTATAGGGAGCTGGAGAGAGAGTCTGTAACCCTAACTACAAAAGCTTAAAAACAGAATAGTAATGCTCCTAAGCACTTACCAATATTACATTATATTTAGATTGGGTGTCTACAGAAACTGCGTTTTTACATTAAATACTGTAACTGTTTATAGACCAGATCGCACTTCCTGACTTCAGTGCTGGAGCCATGGAGAACTGGGGCCTGATCACCTACAGAGAAACTACCCTCCTATATAATCAAGGCGTGTCATCCATTACAGACAAGGGGTTTGTGGCAAAAACCATCTCGCATGAGCTCGCTCATATGGTATGAGGACATTCAGTGGTGTACTGCCAGTCATATCTTTGATACTAACTGTGTCTAGCTTTGAAATGGGTTTTAAAAACCTGGCATTAAAATGAAGCTCTGTCCTCTCAGTGGTTTGGAAACTTGGTGACCACGAGGTGGTGGAATGACCTGTGGCTCAATGAGGGCTTTGCCACATACGTCTCTTATCTTGGAGCCAACTATGCTGAACCACTGTGGAATATGGTGAGTTGTGTTCTCTTCTGGAAACACATCCAGGTTGAGACCTGCTGGATATACTGAACATACTGAATGGATCTATTTTTAAATTGCCCCAGTGTAAGCCATATATTACTAAATTACTTTCACAGGTTGATCGGAAATTGTGTCCGCTCATGCCATAATGCAAAACATAACAAATATTTCTCCGTGTATTTTCCAGACAGATTTAATAGTTCTGAATGAGATCATTGGTGTGATGGGTGTGGATGCCTTGGCCTCCTCTCGCCCCCTCTCCTCCCAAGAGGAGGACATCCTAACACCAGACGACATCGGTGAACTGTTTGACTCCATCACATACAGCAAGGTGCGGTATAATTGAGGATAACACATCACAACTTTGGCACCCGAATGTATTGTTCTCTTCAGTCCCTTCTAGACAAGATGTTAACCTCCACTAAACAAAAAGAATGAATTAAAATGTTCACATTTCCCCGAGTGACCCTAATCAAGGACTCTTGACACTCTTTGGGAGCTACAGAATTAAAGTCCTAATGAATCACTGATCCTCATTAACAGAATGCTGTAATTCTGTCCCATCTTATATATCACCCACTGACACTGCTAATATCCTCATGAGTTTCATTACAGGGAGCTGCAGTCCTCAGGATGCTCTCAGAGTTTATCACTGAGACTGTCTTTTCCAAAGGACTTAGTGTGAGTACAACCGATTAAAATTGTGTTATAGTGTTGTATTTTGTTAATGTTCTCGAATCACAATTTTATAAACCACGACTGATTCTTTTGTTCACCACAAAAAGCACAACTCGAGCATAACCAGTGGGTCATTATCTGTCTGCAGACGTACTTAGAGGAGTTCAAGTACAAGAACGCAGTCTACACAGACCTCTGGAAGCACCTGCAAATGGTAAGATAGCATCATCATAATGACTACTTATGCTCCACAAAACAGCTACTTATCATGAAAGTGCTTTCAAAACCTATGTTTAATCAGGTACCTATACATTTATGTTAAAGGTCCAGTGTGTAGGATTTAAGGGGATATATTGGCAGCAGAGGAATATAATATAACAAGTATGTTTTCTTTAGTGAATATTCACCTGAAATTAAAAAGCGTTGTGTTTTCGTTACTCTAGAATGAGCCGACATAGGGAGCGGGTCCTCATCCACAGAGATGGCCATGTTGCACCACTATGTTTTTTGCAGTGGCTGAGAACGAACAAACCAAACACTGGCTCTAGACAGGACCATTTGCATTTTTGCATTGGCCACTGAGCGCACAGTCCCTCTGCGACAAGAGCGTCAGAATAAAACAGATTTTTTTTTTTAAACATTAACTGCTTTATTCAGTGCTTTTACCAGTTTAAATCAACTGGTCCATTTTTTTTGGAGAGGAGACCTCTTTGGATAGCTCCCGGTAAAAACCTCCTGAATAATGAACACTGAAGAAATTCTAAGTAGGAGAATTTTTAGCTGATTGCAATTTACAGTCATCACTAGATGCCGCTAAATCCCCTTAATCTAAGACAGTGTTTCTATAAAGCAATGGTAACAGATATTTTTGTCAACTTCAGGGTAGTCCAACAAGCTGTTAACACAAAACTGATGTATTATCATCTCACTGGCTAACATGTTCGCAAACAGCTGCCTTTTTAACTACCAAGCAGCAAACAAGCATTAATATTCATTTGGAGTCATGTTTTTGGGTACCAAAAATTTTTAAATCCAATATTCACTCTCCGATCAGCTTGATTTTGGTCTCCACCAACTCCTGAAGGAAATATCTTTAGCTCTTTAGCTGCTAAATTCTCCACTATGTTCACCATGCTAGTGGCTAACTTGTTTTCTCTGTTGTTTGGCAAATGGCAGGCAACATAAAAGTCTACAATGAGTTCATATTGTCAGTAACATGTAATTTACCCAATTTTAATATAAAATTTTGATCAGTGCAGCTGTAAAATGTTTTTACATAACTTTTGAAAGAAAAAGTAAGCATGTGCCTCTTTGAATTTATTAGACACAGAACGCACATTTGCATAATTCAGTCTGCCTGGTGCTACAGCCTGTTCTGGTATGACTTATAGGAATACTTTGTTTCATTTCACAAGTCTCATTATTCCAGTTGTATGCTCAGTACTTCCCAAACAGGCGTTATGTTTTCCGGCGGGGAACTGAAATAAAAGTGAAACTTATGTATGCTCTCTTCAAAGCCAAACTCTGTTCACAAAAACAGTATTTTTTTTTCTCTAGTCTATATTGTAGTTTGATTGTGTTATTGTGTGAATTCAAACTAACCTTTTACAACACCCAAATCACACAATAACACAATCAAACCATCAGTATAGACTCTAGTAGACCAGCTGCTCCCATGTTCAGTGAAGAAAAAGGTCATGACACCTTGAAGAAATATTATTATATATAAAAATTAAAATAATTCCTCTGCAGGGAGCAGCAAAAAGTCATAATACTATATAGTAATATTTTAATGTTCATTTTATCAGGCAGTGGATGAAGCAGGTATAGATCTGCCCCACTCTTTGGAGGATATCATGAACCGCTGGATACTACAGATGGGTTTCCCAGTGGTCACCATCGACACCCAGACCGGAAAAATAACCCAGAAACAATTCCTAATGGACCCAGACTCTGAAGTGGACAGACCCTCACCATACAAGTAGGAAACATTCTTAGTGTTTTATGTGAATGTGCTGAATATACTGTATGTGCTCATATTTAACCCTGTCATAAAAAACTCACCTGCTCTCTCCATATATACATGTATGGCTGGATGGATGTGGCTCTAGTTATGAGTGGATTGTCCCCATTACATGGATTAAGTCTGGTGGAGCTGAAGAGATGTTCTGGCTTCTTGACAAAGAAGGTAAGATTTATTTCAGGTGTACGTTCAGAGCATTGCAAGGCTGATGACCACAGTAAAAAGAGATGCTTTATTCATCTCCATCCAAACAGCAACAAACACAAATATGACTCTTGGTGCTAATGAGTGGTTGGTGGCCAACATAAATATGAGGGGCTTCTACAGAGTCAACTATGACTCTAAAAACTGGGAACGTCTCCTTGCCAAGCTGAGCTCCGAACATCAGGTACAACACCTCCCACTGGACAGAATGCTGCATTACTTCAGCAGTGCTTTAAAAGAATTATCCAAGCCTCCAAGCTCAATTCCTTGTTTACTTTTCAGGATATTCCAGTGATCAACCGAGTTCAAATTATCAATGATGCCTTTAACCTTGCAAGGTGAGGTTTTTTTTTTTGTTTTTGTTCTTTTTTTTTCTTTCAAAGCATTGTTGTCAAACATTGAAATAGAGAGCTGAACAATTGTATGTACCATATTCAGGGCAAAGATGGTGAAGACAACTCTGGCTCTGACAACTACCAAGTTCCTAAATAAAGAGGTCGAATACATGCCCTGGGAGACAGCCCGTCGCAACTTGAACTACTTCTCCCAGATGTTTGACCGCAGTGAAGTTTATGGACCCATGCAGGTTTGTGATAAATGGTTATAATTTATGTTTCTTCAATAAATTAATTCAAATACTGACCCCAAAAAGCTGTTTATGAAGGAAGGCAGATTGGTTAACATGGTAAAATCAACTAGCCTGGAAATCCAGACTCAAATCTAGAAAGATTTTGAGTCTGGCCCTCACCGATACACCCTTCCTACCTCCTATTGCACTAAGCCCCATTGGTTTGCCGACCAGTGGGGCTAACTGATATGTTATGCTTTTGCCGTATCCTGTCAGCAAAATGGCAAAAACGTCCTTCCTGGAAGTAAAGGCTTCTAGGGCAGTCTTCTGTTCTTCTCTCAAGGAAAAGATAAGTGTAGTTGGCTCAGCGTTTCTTCCAAAGCTAAATTGAATGGACGCGGTCCTTCGGCAGCTGCCATTTTGGCTGTTTACTTTTTGACTCCTACAGCGCAGCTCTGTCCTCATCATGTTACTCAGATAATACAACGGCATCTGTCCGATAGACTGATCCCTGGGCTCTGCTTGTCGGGGCCAGATCCCTGTGCAGAGCAAATTCGAATTTGCTAGAGGTGGGGCATCTGGATTTCCAGGTTAAAAATCAACCCAATCCCCCGCAAAATGTTTGTATTGTAAGTTTTGGCAAACCAAGGATATGTTACATTTTCATGTCATTATGTAGCAGGTACATTAAAAATGTACTTATTAAAAATACTAGCCTAGCAACTGGTCGGTACAAAACACCTACATTTGGTGCTAATAAAGCCGCTGGAAAAACATCAAATGAGTCGCTACACAACACCCACGTTTGGTGCCTAAAAAGCCGCTGGAAACAGCAATGACTCGCTAAATCACAGCTGGTGCTGTTGTTTGTTGGTCTCAAACGATTGTCTATGAGGGGCCGTACAAGACATATTTCATTCTCACCCTCTCACACACATACATTCTCTTTACACATACATATATTTTCACTCTCATATTTATATGTTTGAACACACACATTGATACATTTTTCTCTCTTATTCATATATTTTACGCACACATTCATACACTCTGCTCTCATGCACATGCAATCATGTATACATTTAATACTATAAGTAATATATGTATGTAAAAGGAAAATGTATGTATGTTGAAAGAAAATATATGTATGTAGGAGAAGAATGTATGCATGTGTGAGTAAGAGTATAGTGGAAACAGAAGGAGTATAGTGGAAACGGAAGGCAGTCCATTTATCGTCTACATACTCCGGTACAGTAGGTGGCGGTATACACCTAATGAGCAATGGTTGCAACGCGCCATAAAACCAAACGAAGAAGAAGAATTTATCGCGCTGTGATTGGCTGAGAAGGATGTTATTGA